AAAGGAGAGGATGGAGAGAATAACATGCTACTTTAAACAAGAACCTATCTGAGAGATATTGCCTGCGTAGAGATAGAGGGGGCTCAACACATTCAACTTGAAGAGCGAGAATGGGAGTGGACTTCATGCTACCAGTTATTATACGTAGACATTTTGACTGGATTTTGTCCAAGGTATTAAGAGCCATTTTGCTACAAGGCTCTAGTAAGAAGCACCCATAATCAAAGTGACTTCTAATTAGAGCATTGTATAAAAGCTTTTGTGAGTAGGGGTGAGAACCCCACCAAGCACCTGATAGAGATTGAATAACATTGAGATTTTTTTCACATTTGGAGGCAATATATGATAAGTGAGGAATTCCTGTGATTTTGTTATCCAGGATTACTCTTAAAAATTTCACTTGATTTTCAGTGGGGATTAGAGTCTTATCAATGTAGATGGACACTTCTGGTATATACCTTCGCCTAGAGAAAACCACAGTACTGCATTTTAAAGGAGACATTGATAAACCATGCTCCAATAGCCAATTATTAAGAAAGTTGACAGCTTGGGATAAATGAGAGGTAGCCTCAGTAAGAGGCATCAGATACATATAGGGCTAGATCATCTGCATATTGCAAAATATTACCTAGATAATTTATAGATCTATCTATATCATGTGTGAAGGCTGTACAACAAGGGGCTCAAGACAGAACCTTGAGGTAGTCCCTTCCAGGTAAATCTAGCTGTTAGAAATCTTCCTTCAGAGCGAATTAATATGCGTCTATGTGAAAGTAGGTTTGTTATGAAATTTGTTATTCTCTCGGGAATGTTCAGCTGATGCATTTTTTGCCTGAGCAGAGGGAGAACAACATTATCATATGCTGCACAAACATCGATGAAAATACCTACGAGAAAGTTGTTATTAGAGAATGCTAGCCTTATATCAGATACTAAAATGCTAAGCTATCCATTGTGCTAAAACCTTTTCTAAAACCAAATTGGGTCTTTGATATAATGCCTCTATTTTCGAGAATCCACTCAAGGCGATTTTTTACAAGATGTTCCATGACTTTCGACAGGGTTGATGAAATAGCAATAGGGCGATAGCTTAATGCGGAAGAGGGGTCTTTACCAGGTTTTAGAATAGGAATAATAATATGTGTTTTCCAGTCATCTGGAATAGAACCGGTTGTAAATACCATGTTAATTATGCTTAAAAAGAACTGCTTACACGTAGTACCCATATTAACAAGGAATGAGTAAGGGATACCATCAGCGCCAGGGGAGGAATCCTTAAGGTGCCTAAGAACCAACTGCAATTTAGCTAGTGAAAATGGTTCATTAAGATTATTAAAAGAGTTAAATGAGTGAGGGAGGAATGGTTTTGAGGAAGGAGATATCTCTCCCTCCAATGGAACCCAGGGAGGAGCCAGACGGTTACTGAAATCTTCTAGCCAATGGAAGGGGTCTGCACAAGGGGAATTGCTATCATCTAAAGCGCCACGGAATTGCCTAATAGGTTTCCAAACCAGAGAAGAAGGAGATCGAGGAGCTAAGCTCTCACAAAACGAAAGCCATTCTTTTTTTTTCTTTTCAGAAAGAAATTTTTTGGACTGAGCAGTAATTTCTGATAATTAAGAAAATTTTCCATTGACATATTAGAGGAATATAGCCGTTCTGCTGCCTTTCGTTTTTTAATAATTGAGGAACAGTCTGCGTCCCACCATGGAGGTGATGAATTTTACAATGAGTTCTGATATACAAGAAGGAGTGGGAGCCGGAATGTAAATGGATAGGATTGTGATGTCCATAGCCTTAACAGCTACTGCATTTATATTGCCTTGTATAGGAGGAAGAGGAATGGGTGATAAGGGAATGGTCCTGTTAAGTAAAACCAGAGCGCCACCATAGCCGTCGCTCCTATCACTACGATAACAGGAGAAGCCTGGGATTCTAAATGTGGAGCATGGCTTAAGGCAGGTTTCCGATATTGCAAGTATAGAAGGGTTATGAGTATTAATTAAGTGAATTATATCAGGTTTTTTATTCCTGATGCTCCGACAATTCCACTGGAGGAGGGTTAGGGATTCGAACTTTATATATTCTTGAGAAGAGGACATCTAGTTTGCTTTTCACATTGAACGGTAAATGGGAATCATCGAATTTGCCAACAATATCTGTAAGAGGCCACAAGATTTTCTAGAAGGTTATCATTAGGGGATATTATATTGCTTTGTAAAGCATGCCCATTGGGAAGAGAGGACGAAGGAGTACTTGTAATGTTATAGTGTGCAACTTTATCATATCCTTGTGTAGATGGCACTGGCAGATTTGACTTTATAAATAGTTTTCCTATAGGACTGAGTAGGAGGATTTACCGATGCCTGAGGAGATGGGAGATGGCTTACAGGAATTTGTGAAGATGCAACATCAGAATAAGGTCTTCTGACAGCCGGGAAGCGGGCGGAAGCCTCAAGGTATGATACATTCTCTTGTGACATTACTATTTTGATAGCTTTTTGACTTGAGTGCTCTGGGGAACTTCTTTCAAAAGCCATATGATTTTCCAAACAGAAAAGACAGGTTGGGGAATCTGTGGGACAATTATCTCCGGTGTGCTCTTTGCTGCATTTAAAGCATCGTGGTTTCGATCGACATTGGGCTTTGACATGTCCGAAACGGCAACATTTTAGACATTGGATAGTAGGAAGAAGGTAAATTTCGACTGGTATGGAAGCATAAAAGCAATATAAATGGGAGGGGAGCACTTGTCCTGAGAAGGTGAGGACAACAGTTTGAGTTGGAACCCACTCCACTTCATCACCCTTTTTGACATTTCTGTTAAGTCTTCTGGCTTTAATGATTTCTCCTCTGCCAGGAGGGAGCTCAGACTCGCTCACTAATTCCTCCATAGAGATGTCAGTCGGGATACCCCTGATCACACCCATACGGGTGACATTAAAAGTTGGAATAACAGCAGAAAGTTTATAATGCGAGAGAAACTCAGAGTCAATACAATTATTAGCATCATTAGCAGTTTTAAAAGCAATTGAAACCCTGTTGCGCCCTAAAATTTTGATACCCTGTTTTTCAATATTGGCCACTTTATTTTGGGTAAGGATATGACCAATTCTCACAGGTCTAATTGTATAACCTGCTGATGGATCAGGTTCTGAGCGGCTTAAATGTATTACAAATGGGCCTTTATCGCTATCTACATATTTTTTTTTATCTTGGAAGTCAGGGTGGACGTATGTATTTTGGTAGGAGGCAGAAGGGTGATCTTCGTGCCCTATTTTTTTCTTTGGGAAGTTGGGTAATGGTAAGGAATCCGTGAGTTTACGTTTAGCAGGGCCAGAATCACCAGGTAAATCCGGTGGTTCAGCATCTCTTCCGTCAACCTCCATCGTCGTCACACAGATCTACATTAACTAAACAAAAAATACTACTCACCTACTAACAAACAGAACACACAGAGACAACACACAAAAAATTGAGAGATTTTACACCAATTTGAATCGAAAAAGGGTTAAAAACTTATTCCAATACAAAAACACGTGTAATCACCAATCACTCTGACGGCAGAATCCCCAACCGATACAAGAGCTTTTATTCACTGGCAACACTAAACCTTCACTGTCAATGACAGCTGGTGATTGGTTATGTTGGCAATAGTGATAACACTCTATTAAGTCTATGATTATAACTGCTATTCACAATTTTAAGTTATGTTGTTTAGTGATAATTGCAGATTTTTCGAAAGATTAACAATATTCGCACTGTGATCAGTTCACTAAGTTTAGTGCTAATACTTTATTTTGATGGGGTTGCGCCAAAATTACTTGATTATCCACTTTTTGCACTACTTTTACGAAAATATTCGCGGAGGACTTTGAGGTACATGTTTACGATACAATAGCCGGAACCGGAACACCAAGGGTTATTATCATTCATAAATTCCTTAATATTAAAATATCCCTTTTACAAACTTAGTTTAACAAAGTTTTTGAATTTAGTGTACTTACGTCAAATTTTGTATATTTTCTGGGATTTTGTTGTAAAAGCGTGTACATTGCCCCAAGAATGAATTACTGACTCTGTGTTTTTTTTGCCTACACAAATTTACTTTGACAAAGTAAAAAAAACTTGTTTTATTCATGAATTGTGATTCATGTAATTTAAAAATTTTGAAAATAAAAATTAAATTAAAACAAATAACACATAAAAAAAAATTAATAATTCAATTATTTGAAAATTTTTACCGATTATTTGAATATTTTGCCCATTATTCTCATAACAATGAATTTTAGTCATCCAAACACTACGGTAATATACATAGCGACATATCATTGAAACAACGTCAAGTAAAAAAAGTTAATAGTTACTGGTTATTTTTTAATATCTTGCTTTGTTTGAAAAAATCAAATTTAAATTAGTGATAAAAAAACTATACACAATGTAATGAAATATAGATAGCTTCATAATTCTTCAGATTTACATAAAAGGTTATTTTAAATTGTGTGAGTACACTGGTGCAAAGTTATTGTGGAATGATTAATGTGAAACATCAAAAGGTATTTCTTAGATTTGGTTGACTATAATTATGTAGTTTTAACAATTGCTTTTGATATTTTCCGATATATTGTATTGGATGTGTGAAGTATATTTTAATGAGAATCGCTTAATCAAATCATTGAATAAATGCATTGAATGAAAAAAAATGAAAAATTTAAAAATCTTATTTCAAAATGCAGTTATAGTATATTTATTTATTTGGTAAACTTTAAAATTTCAATTGATAGCGAAGCAAAATAGTGAAGTATACTATTCTACTACATTCCTTCACCTAAATTTTATGCATAATTTAACAGTAGTTCGAGTTTTGCCGATGCAAGTTAACCTGTTCCATGCAACAAAACTACTACTTACCTAATATTATTACAGCAGTGAACAGGTTTAAAATTTATTCGATACATTTTTTCATTAAATTTTTTTCAGTATATTTTTGAGAAACTTACCTATAATGATTTTGCTAAACAATCCAACCACTGCTACTGTGATAGAACTGGCGCAGTTCCACAGTCTGCCAGGGTTCCGCAACCGCGGGATAATCCACCCAATATCATATCCCATGGTTGCGGCGTAAGCACTTGAACACACACAGTCGCTACGTTAACATAATTTCTGTGATCAATTTCGAATTTAAATAATTTTTCTTTCGCGGAACGACACTGCCTACTCGACGACGATGTGCAATCAAATGTCATTATTCATTGACAATTTTAATGACATTTACAACTTCATAGAAATTTATTTTTATTTGAAAGCAAAGGGATCTACATCTATACAGCCTCAAATTGTAACAGAAATCGTTTATTATGTTTAAAAATGGTTCATTAGTGAAAGTAAATCGTAAAATTTCCTTCTTTCTTCATTATTACAATAAATATGTAATCGTTATTGAAAAATGTTAAGTAATTGTGCAGTTATAACTTCGAAAAAATAAATAATATTTTATAGCCGCCGTTATATAAGTGTTACGAGCTTGAGGTTCGTGACAATAAAAATTGCCGATAAAATTACCTAAATTAACACTTTAATTTTCTTTACACAAATTAAAACTTAAAACACTAACAATTAATCACACTGATTCACTTTATTCCGCTCCGAAGCTTCGCTTGTCTCGCCAAATTCAATACTTCACGGACCGCATCTTGCAGCGCCTATAAATATAAATTATCACCGAAATATCCAGAATATTCAAGTAAACACGCGCAAGGTACCGAGAGTTCGAGTTTCAATTTCTAGAAGTTTAGTTCTTCGATTCGAGACTAGATGGCGCTGTCGGTTAAAAGATTAGTGATGTCCTTTTCTGGAAAGTTCCCCTCGCTCTCGTCTCTGACACTAGATGGCGCTAGTGACGTCGACTTAGGCGCGTAACATAAGGTTATGTTGTTGAATTTTAATGAAGTGTCAAATGTGATCTATTAAATTCCTCTTATTAGTTTGTCATTAAATTGGTCCTATGTATTTGGTACGTTTTGGAATATTTTGTCGACAGCTTAACTCAGTGAACTTTTGATAAAGATAGTCAAGGCTAAGTGGCTTGACTATCTTGCAGCAGGTATCCTTTTCTGACCATGAGTCTGCCTGGATAATCACCACCTTCTAACTTATTTCTGCAGCTAAATAGGAGTGTTCGCACTGCTGTGTTCCGACCTTACAGCCACATAGAGCTAGTATAATAATAGGTCACACCGACATGTGATAATTTGACGATAAATCCCACATAGCTTTAAAGCTATGTTTATAGAAATAACAATAGTTTTTATTTCATCCGAATTGGTGCAGAAATACGAATGTTATAACGTTTTGAAGTTTCACTCATTTTAAATTTTCTGCCCGCTCGTTCACTATGATGTGACGTCACAATTCGACAGAGCGAGCGCGCAATAAGTACTAGCAGTTCACTACTAACTACTAACCGCGCGCTCGGAAGTACATATTATACGGTCGTTTACCTACATATTATTACCTAAGGTATTGAACATTTAGCTTTTATATGATTATATTTGTATTTAAATGTATAGTCACGGTGTGTAGTGCTGTAAAAAATGAAAGCGGACTGTAAAAAGCACAATCAGACAAAAGTGGATATTTTTATAGTTGCGCAGTATTTTTTTGTAAATAATATTTTTTATCTTCAGAAATGCATGGAATAAAGTCCCAAAGGTAAGTTACTAATAAAATATTACGAAAAGTATACAGCTTTACCATTAATTAGTAGGCTTACGCAGTAATACATAGGTAGGCATTAACTGACCGAACCATGAAGTTGCACATAATTTACAACGACATAACATGAAAACAACTTACTTAAACTTATTGTTACGAACTTGAGGTTCGTGACAATAAAAACTGCCGATTGAATTACCAAAAATTTACACTTTTAATTTTCTTTAACCAACTAAAACTTGAGCCGTTGTAGCTCAGATGGTTAACGCTCGCTGTAAATGTAACAGAACGCGAGTAACCCGGGTTCGATCCCCGCTGGCACCAATGAAATTGTTAATTGCAATTTTAAGTGCTGATTTACCACGTGCTCGTCGGTGAAGGGAAACATCGTAAGGAAACCTGCATGTCTGAGAAATAAGAAAAAAATTATTTCGAAGACATGTGAAGTTCGCCAACACGCATTGGGGCAGCGTGGCGGACACTTACTTGCCCTAAAACCCTCTCAGAAATGAGGGGAGGCCTGTGCCCAGCAGTGGGACGTATATAGGCTGTAACTTTACTTTACTTTTTAACAACTAAAACTTAAAACACTAATAATTAATCACACTGATTCACTTTATTTCGCTCCGAAGCTTCGCTTGTCTCGCCAAATTCAATACTGGCTCGATAGCGGGTTGCAGCGGCTTTAAATACACATTTTTCACCGAAACATCCAGAATATTCAAGTAAATACGGGCGCCAACCGACCAGGCGCAGAAAGTTCGAGTGTGGGGCTTCTAGAAAGCTTAATTCTTCTGTTCGATACTAGATGGCGCTGTTGGTCGAAAGTCAAGATTGACATTTTCTAGGAAGCCCTCCTCGCTCTGGTCCCCGACACTAGATGGCGCTAGTGCCGGGTACATGACGTCAACTTAGGCGCATAACACTGCCCCCTCCTAAGATATGCTCGTCCCGAGCATTATCGGCCCCATAATAACGCGCCAGGCGATCCACATGGACGTTCTTAAGGAGCTCTCTTGCGCCTTTCTGTAACGGCTCCGCAATGTCAAGGGCTGTCCTATCCCATGGTGTACCAACATTGTACAATATCGATGCTCCCCTACTACGTGTCTGAGGTCCCCTCACAGCCGCACAACTTGTACATGTGCGACACCAATCCTCGACATCGTCACGATAATGGACCCAGTAAAACTGTTCTCGGATATTCAGTAGAGTTCGTTTAACTCCCAGATGGACTCCTGAACAACCATTATGGTGCAGCTGTAGAACATTCGGCACTTTAGCTTTAGGGACAACCATTTGCAAACGACAGCTGTCTCCTCGACCATTGTCCCGTTTACGGCACAGAACTCCATCCTGAATCAGCAAGCTGTCCCATTGGGCCCAATAGCTTCTAGTGGTCGAACTCATCGCTGAGACGTCGCTCCACTTAGGCTTGGTAGCACGGGCCTTCATCCATTCCAGAATCGGCTTGATGTCCGGATCTTCCTGCTGTGCATGTCGTAGGCTGTCCTTCCCACTCGTTGCTGAGGTGGTCTGTCCTGAGCATCCTCACGGATACCACTTCCATACTCACTTGCCTAGTACAATGTTTGCAATCTTCAGGACAAGGTCTTCTTGACAATGCATCTGCGTTTCCATGAGATTTCGCGCTGCGATGTCTGATAGTAAAGTCGTATTCCTGCTGTTGCTGGGCGGTGATGTTAGCCGCGCTTCCGTTCTGAGATCGTTCACCTTCCCTTTCTAGGGTTCGATTAGGGCAGCTGGATCGAAGATGCCCCCTTTCACCACAGCCATAGCACTTAGGGCTGTATCCTTTATTGTGGTCGCGAACCGTAACTGCTGCAACCTCCCTAGCGTGAGGGGAACGATGATCCTGCCGCCGCCAGGCGGTGCCGTTAGCTGCACTACCCTCTCGAGATCGATCAACTTTCCTTTCTACGGTTCGCTTAGGGCATGTCGGGGCACGTCATTGCGCCTCGGCCAAAATGATGGACGCGTGGGAGCGCGGACCGGTTGAAGCCCTCGCGAGCGCTTCTGTACCTCACTCAGCTGCGAGACGCGGTAGCAGACGGGCACTTTATTTTTCAATTTATAATACGTTTGTTTAGAGGTTTTACGGCATTAAACCTATTGTTAATACAGTCCACTCATTTTATTTCTAAAGTCCCGATAAGGCCTAAACATATGGTCCTTCGATCGCGCAAAACATTTACCAGTTTTTGTCGTAATTAACGTCGACGAGGTCAACGGTCGCCGAGCGCAATTTGAACCCGCGGCCACGTATATTGAAGAAGGAAGTCGTTCCTGTAGCAGCCTGCTTAATCATTGAAGACGCTGATGTCATCCTGGGAGTATAAAAACCGTATTTGAGTGAGTTAGTTCCAATTAGTTATTTTCCCGCTTTCTTTTCATGCCGAAAAAATCTTTTTTACATCTTTCATTGGCTAAGTACACTTACTTTTAATAAGTAGGTACCTAATTAACTTCAGTGTTTTAAAAATTGCTTTGTCATTGTAACGCTCGCTTGTTTAAATTTAAATGTTTATTCCGTTACAAATATCAAGCGCTCAAGTGTCGATTTGTTGACCTTGGCGCTGATTCATATTTTTACCTGCGTGCAACGATCCCTTTTGTTCTCGCACAGCTGTAGTTTTTTTTTTCTAAAGTAATCAACGTTTTCTTTTCTTGCTGTGTTCATATAAAAGTAAAATGGCAGATAATTTAAAAACTTTATTGAAAAAGCGTAGTTCGATAAAATCAAAGCTTACAATTTACAGCAATTATTTAAATTTAATTAAAAGTAGCTCTGATATTTCTGAATCGCAACGTCTAGACTTAGCGGAACGTTTTAATAAATTCGAAACCTTACATTCTGAATTTGACGAATTACAGACAAACATCGAAGTACTTGCCGATGATGCCGGGTCTGCGTTAGCTGAGCGTGAGGACTTTGACCGTCAGTTCTTCAATCTGGTGGCCATCACGCGCAGTGTACAGTGCAACCGTACATTTTAGTGTGTAAACGATTTATTTAGGTCAACATAATTTGCGTCATTCACTTTAGTTTTTAGCAATGGACAGTTGACGTTGTCGCTCAGAACACGATAGACGCGTTCTATATCATTATCAATATCATTATATAATATCATTATTTATTTTAAATAAAATCATTTTTCCTATCAACTATCATTTAAAGGTGTTCCGTACATCTTTATGGTCCTTCGAGCTCCGTAGCGGGACCTGAAATTCGGGTTTTAACGACCGGAAAAAGTGTTTCCGCTCAGTGACCTATTGCGACATAGTGCACTAAGTGACGTGTGCAATAGCTTTCCAGTCTGTACTAATAAGTGTGCAGCATCATTTCATTATCAATAAGCTCCGGCCATCGGTGTCAC